TAATAATAATAATAATAATAATAATAATAATAATAATAATAATAATATATGTATATATGTGCGTGTGTGTGTAAAGACCATTCAATTTTTGTTGATTGAATGCACCCACGTGTGGGCGGTTCATGATACTTATCTGCGTTATATATATGCTGAGTTGTGTTTAGGGCCGATGTGTAACCCAGAAGCCATATAGTTTTTTGACCACACGCATGCACACACACACACACACACACACACACACACACACACACACACGCACACACACACACACACACACACACACGCATAGCTATGGACATGCTTAATAATGCTGGAGGTAAATACACTTAAATATACTAAAGAAAGCGGATTTGGGGCTCTGTCACGGCAAGTCAAAACCCTTTAACAGCTGCACCAGTGATTCACAGGTAATCACTTTACTCATTTCACTTTACATTTCACTTTATAAATATATATACATACAAAAATGGACTAAAAATAGTGAAAAACAGCCACATTTCAAATAAAAACAAATTTTAGAAAGTTTGAAAAACTACTGATTAGAATACTACTACTACTGAAAGATATATATATATATATATATATATATAGAGAGAGAGAGAGAGAGAGAGAGAGAGACAGAGAGAGAGAAGTTTTATTTGTTGCACTTGATAAATTTTAAACTGTTCATCTCAGCTAGATGAAGTCAGAGTTTACCTGTATGACTGTGAGCCACCTTGCAGGCCTTCCTGTATCTGAAACCATGTGGGCTGAGGTGGAAAATCAGGTCGTTGTGGTACGGAAACATCCTCAACCGTAAGTTAATAATACTGCTGAGCTCATACACTGCTTTAATGTATTCATTTGTTCCTCTGACACGTGAAAACAGAAAAAAAACAACATTAAAAGTTACATTTCCTCTGCTTTTGATTTGAGATTTGATTTGATTTTGACTGAAGCAGAAAATGAATCAGAAGCTGAAACTGTAAACAGATTTACATAAACTCACCCCTCTGTCTGACAGTTGCTTTTGCAGCTAAATGCACACTGTAGGATGGTGTCCAGCGTCATGAGGCTCACATGTTCAAATAATTCAAACGTGTCATTGCTCTTTGCATGTTTCTCCCATTTATCCTGAAAACAATGAGAAAATAAATGCTACATCTTTGCACAGTATAAAAACACTGCTACGCATGTTTTAATCTGAACATTTTTTAGATGAAGACAGAGTTATGCTCTTCATGACACATTTATTCAATATGAATAGTGAAACATACCATTCATTTTTAATTCACATACCAACATAGTTTTAGCAGACTGTGACATCAGCTGCACGTATGGCTTTAAAACGTCATAATGGAAGCCTGAAGTCAAGAGTCGTCTGTGGCGAAACCATTTCTGACCTTTCGACACTAACAATCCATCTCCTAAAAACAAAGGCAGACATGATCAGCGTTAGTGAAAGAAGTAGCTTAACTAATAACACTATGAGAGAAAGAAAAAAAAAAACAAGCTGTAAAAAAACCAGCAGTCTTACCAATCCAAGGCATGAGAAAAGAATACACAAAATCATCTTTTGGTTCTGTTAGGAAGGAGGCAAACAAAAGCTGTTAGGTGCTACCATGCAACTGGTACAAACGCTAAAATGATGCGTTTAGTTGCATAACTGCAACAAGAAGTAAACATCAAAGTCGATTTTTACACACCAGCTGATGTCAGTATGGTTTTTACATAATCTGGATGATGAACACTGAGCAAACAAAGAAAGGGGCCAAACCACAATGGAAAACCATAAGGGTAGGTCCTTCCCCACTCTGTCGCCTTGAACAAATCGGTCCCATCTTGTTTAAACTAAAAAGAAAAGACAGCAGAGGGTGACTGAGGTCAACGTGCATGATGACTTCCTGCAGAAACCGTACTCTGATGTGTACAGTACTGCGTATATGAGCGGTAATAAACACACCATAAAAAAATTATTTTAACAAAGTTATTCTGCCGCAAAAGTTTCCATCCAAACCTAATTCATTTACACTTTGTTTCTAAGGAGCCAGATGTTGTTCTTATCTTTTAAAGCGATTGACTTTCTTATTTTTGTTTTTCTTTTAACTTTGGCTGCTTACAAGAGCAGGACAAAATGTGTAATTAAATCACAGCAGTTAGTAAGAAACTGAAACCGTGCTTAGGAGGTCAGAGTTTTGTGACTTAATAAAAAAGAAACAAACAAACAAACAAACAAAAAACCCTCAAAGAATGATCAGGACTAATGACTGCACTCAAATAAATAAAAAGCAACTAAAAAATAAAAAGAAAGTATTTGAAACTTTTAAAGCCTGATAAAATAAAGCATTTTAAAAAGACTGCAATTTGTCTGGCTCCTTGGAAGCAAAAGATAAATAAGAATAAATAATATGACTAACATTTTTTTTGCACAGCACTGAGCATAAAATGTTTAATTCCAACTGATGAAAAACTGTTTTTTTTTTTAGAAGTCACTTAGAAAGACTTTTAGTAAATCTTTGTTACTGAACAATTTTAAAAACTATTTTAAACCTTGTTACAAAATGAAACACTAGCTCGTGTGTCATTGTTCAGTTATAGAACAGACACCAAAATGCAGCAGCAGAAGTCCTAAAGGGAGCTCCTAAAAAAAAGGGTTTTACCTCTAAAACATGTCCTAGGAGAAAGTTTCCTGGAGGTCCTGGGAAAGCTTCAAAGCTTCTGAGCACAGCCTTTCGTTTGGCCAGGAAAACTGAGAAGTTGTAGGCGATGACAACGAAACAGAGCAGAGAAAACAGCTGGAGCCAGGAGAGTTGGAGTTTGAAGAAAGCTTCCAGCAGCTCCATACTGACGAGGAGACGAGTCTTTGAACGCCTCACGGCGCGTGTTTGTGTTTTATAAGTGTTCTGACAGCACGTGGCAGGAGGGCGTGAGGGATCTGCGTGCCGAGAACCGGGGCGTGATGATTTGGAGCTCTAAATATTTATCTCCATTAAAGCATGACTATTTTTGCAACATGCAATGTCATCATGGGCGTCACAAGCATCTGTAATGTGGGGGGGACACGTCCCCTTCACATATAATGGTCGTGACCTATGAATGCAATGATAAAAAAAAAAAGTGAAAACTAAACCTGCACAATATTTTTATATTTATGTTTTTATTGATGATTTTATTGAACGTGTGGCAATAAATAAATAAAATAAAAAAATTAACTTGCAATCAAAATTTGTCAACCTTCATATTGCATCAAGGATTGGCTCTGTGCCAAGTTTTGCCCCACCTCTCCTGCCCTGTCTGTTAGTTTTCTTTTGTTTTTCCTGCCAAGCTCTTCCAGCTCCTGTCACTCCATCTCCACTCTGCTCCATGCCCCGCTCTGCAATTAAGCTCATGCGCTCCACCTGTCCCATGCACTTCATAAGCTGCCTGTCTTCCCTCTGTCAGCGCCAGATTCTCGAACTTTGCTAAGTAGTAGAAATCCAGCAGTCTTGTCTCTCGCCTTGCCTGACACTTTTGGATTCATCTGCTCATCTGACCACGGTTTACGACTCTGCGCTCCTCTAATTTGACCATGACTACGGATTACGATTTGGCTCTGGCTTCAGCCTTCTGCTTCCCCGTGCTTGACTCCTGCTAAGCCCATCGGACCACGTATCTGGATTTCCTCTGCCTGGATCACAACGTCTTCAGTCTGCTCTGCTGTAGCAGCTCACTCTGCATGAGAGACGTCACCGGCTCCAGCGCGACGAAAACGCCTGCTACACCATCAAGACAGAAGATTAGTGAAAACCTCAGTACCCATCTGCACTTCCTCCTCCGAGCCAAGTTCACTAACACATCTGTCTTGACAAATTGGACCAGGACCCAGACCTCCACCAGAGATTGTATAAATTCAATAAACTCTTTTAAACCACTCTTGGTCTTGGTGTTGTCATGCTGATCCAAACTGGTCCCTGTCACTCTGAGACCCTTCTTGTTTGCTCTGGTGATGGACCGACTAACAGATGAGGTCAGACAGGAATCTCCGTGGACTATGATGTTTGCAGATGACATTGTGATCTGTGGTGAGAACAGGGAACAGGTGGAAGAGAACTTGGAGAGGTGGAGGTATAAACTTGAAAGAAGAGGAATGAAAGTCAGCCGTAGTAAGACAGAGTACATGTGTGAATGAGAGGGAGGCTGGAGGAACAGTGAGGCTACAAGTAGCAGAGGTCACAAAAGTGCAGGACTTCAAGTACTTGGGGTCCACTGTTCAGGATAATGGGGAATGTGATAAAGAGGTGAAAAACAGAGTCCAGACAGGATGGAGTGGATGGAGAAAAGTTTCAGGAGTGATTTGTGACTAAGGGTGTCAGCAAAGGTCAAAGGAAAAGTTTACAAGACAGTGGTGGGACCAGCTATGTTGTATGGTCTGGAGACAGAGACATGGACAAAAAGACAGGAGACAGAACTGGAAGTAGCAGAAAAGAAGATGCCGAGGTTCTCCATAGGAGTGACAAGGATGTGTCACATTAGGAAAGAGATCATCAGAGGTACAGCACAGGTTGAACGACTGGGATAAAAAGTTAGAGACCAGACTGAGATGGTTTAGACAAGTCCAGAAGAGGGACAGTGGGTATACTGGTTGAAGAATGTTAGAAATGCAGCTGCCAGGAAAAATACAAAGAGGAGATATATGGATGCAGTTAGAGAAGACATGGAGGTAGTTGGAGTGAGGACAGATGATGCAGAGGGCAAAGTGAGATGGAGGAGGATGACACGCTGTTGCAACCCCCGAAGAGGGGAAAGCCGAAAGAAGAGACAACCTAACATGCATGTTTTTGGTCTGTGGGAGGAAACTGGAGTACCCGGAGAAAACCCACGCATGCACGGACAGAACATGCAAACTCCACCCTGAAAGGCCCCTGGCCAGGATTTGATCCTGCGAACTTGTCTCTGAGAGGCAACAACTCTACCACGATGCCACCCCAAACCAGAGCATATTAAATGTTTAAAAAGGTCACACTCTGTTTATGGATTATAAGTGGAATGCAAACACAAAATTTAAAATGCACAGTGCATTAGAAACAAGAATGTTGTAACAAACTTTACAAATCTTTGTGAAAAGAATTGTCGTATATTTGCACCCTAGGGTGACACAAAAAGTGAAACTGTTCGACCACTTCCGATGTGTCAGCGAGAGTTTGTTCAGTTCTCAAAAACTCTGATGTGACACGAAGACTCAGACCTCAAAAATAGTTCTTGTTTTTAAAACTGAATTAACTTTTTCAGCAGAAAGATGAGCTCATCGGCTACAATTCAAAAGAGCTGCGCTCATCTTTTTTTACTGATCACTTGGAACACGTGCATTTCCTCAGGAAACGGTGAGTAAGTGATCGATTCAATGTCGTATGTTTCAAATGCACTTGTGTAAAATGACTTGGTTGTTTTAGCTTCTAAATGTTTGTGACAAACTGGTATTTTAACAACCTCAGATCTCCGTTTCTGGCTGGGATGTCGAGCTCTGATACCGTGTGAACCACCCAGTTTTCCTTCAGACTCGTTCAAATGGTTTTACAAAGAGGATGAACATAGTAAAGAAGTCCTGTTATACTTTGAAGATAAAAGTGGAGTACGTCGCTATGATGCCTCTCGCCGTAGAGCAAACATGATGCGCAATCGCTCCTTGGTCATTGATAATTTCACAGCGGGCGATCAGGGTCTGTATTGGTGTGAAAACTGTAAACAGGACATCTGCAGCAGAGAACAACGTTTCGTCTCCAGAGTGCAAAAAGGTTTGACCTGATTTTCACAAATCTAAGGAAATTATGAACCAGTGACAAATCATTTTGTTCTATGTGGTGCCGTTTGTAAAGTTACACAGTCAGAAATTAACAGCAATATTTTTGGATTACTGAATCTTTCATAAGAATAAAAAACAAGTTTTTCTTTTTCAAAGTCATATTTTCACCATGTTATTTATACATTTATAAATGTCATAGTTCCAAACTAAACATTTAGTTTCCAAAATAAATATTTAATTTGCTAACTAAATATTTAGCTCAAACCTAAATATTTAGCTAATATGCAAATTCTTTGCCGAAAAGCGGAAATGGGCTATCAAAATAAAAGCCAAACCTCTAGTTATACACCACTTGTCAAACCGCCAAGGATTTTTAGATATTTTAGTATTTTAGATAAAAATTGATAAAAATGGAAAATAAATATTTAGGTCTGAGCTAAATATTTAGTTAGCCAATTAAATATTTAGTTTAGGAATTAAATGTTTAGTTTGAACATTAAATGTTTACTTTTGAAAATAAATATTTATGTTTGAGCTAAACATTTAACTTGCAAGCTAAATATTTAGCTTGCAAGTTAAATAGTTAGGTCCGAGCAAAATATTTAGTTAGCAAATTAAGTATTTGTTTTGGAAATTAAATTTTTAGTTTGGAAAATTAATATTTAGATCTGAGCTAAATATTTAGTTAGCAAATTAAATATATATTTTAGAAAGTAAATGTTTAGCTTAGAAATTAAATGTTTAGATTGGAAATTAAATGTTTACTTTTGAAAATAAATATTTAGCTTGGAAATTAAACATTTAATTGACAAGCTAAATTTTCAGTTTACTAACTAAATATTTAACTTGCAAATTAAATTTTTAGTTTGGAAAATAAATATTTAGCTTGTAAAAAATTTAATGTATTTAACTTGCAAGTTAAATATTTAGTTTGTAAATGAAACAGTTAGCTTGGACATAAACATTTAGTTTGTTAACTAAATATTTAGTGTGGACCTAAATATTTAGCTCGCCAACTAAATATTTAACTTGCAAGTTAAGTATTTAGTTTGTAAACTTAATATTTAGCTTGTAAATTAAATGTTTAGTTTGGAAGTATGACGTTTATAAATGTATGAATAAAATGGTGAAAATATGACTTTGATAAAAAAAAACAAAAAACTATTTTTTTTTCTTATGAAAAGCTAAATAAACCAAAATATTGCTGTTAATTTTTGACCGTGTAACTTTACAAACGGCACCCCATACTGTTCTGCATTTTGATATTTGTTAAAGCAATATGTTTTATTTTATCTTTTGCAGAAATTTTGAATGAAATTCAAAAGACGTTTTACATCCCTGCAGGAAGCAGTTTCACCCAAACATGTTCAGGTGAATTCCCGGACTTAAAATGGACTTTTAACAGAAGTAAAACTGTTCAAGGATCTGAAAGGAGACCACAAGCGGTCATTAAGACGACCAACAAGTCCATACACATTGCAGTTGTTAAAAGCCCAGATGCTGGGAAATATACGTGCTGGGCGAGTCACTGTGGTGGTCCGAGTCAAAAACTGCTTACAGTCAACTTGTGTGTGATACAAGGTGAGACATTTACATTCATTTATAAACATGAATAAAAAGGAATCATACTGACTGACTCTTGGTTTGCTTTATTTCAGTACACGGTGAGGATTCCTCTCTTTCTTGTGCTGTGACGTGTGATGTGGGTTTATTCAAACCAATGAATTCATCAAGACTTCTGATGGAGAACACAGAAATATCTGTGGGTGTAGATCGATTTGGGTCTTTATTTTGCAATGCAAGTCAGATCTCAGATGGACACACAACAATTACTAGCAAATATATATCACCAACAAAAGCAGGTATTTATTATAAATCTCTCTTTTCTTTTTAATAAAATATGCAACTTTTAAAGAATGCTAACATTTAGCATTTTGCTCTACAGGGGACCCTTGGAGGACTGAACATCTGAAGCCAGTTCTTTATGGAGTATCAGTTGTCGTTTCCTGTTTAATTATAACATTTTTAATTTTTTGCTTGAGGTCAAGGCGGCGCACAGGTAAAACTTGCAGCTATAAGACCAAGACTTCCTGTTTTCTTTCTTTTTGTTTTACGCCAACTCAGTGGTTTTGCTGTTTGCTTTACGCGCCCCTAATTCTGATTCTCTTTCATTCTCACGTAAAGCATTTCCTTTTTGTATCTCCTGTTGTGGCTTCAGTAACTCGGTACAGTGAACGTTACACTCGCAAACAAGTTGAAATGATCTACTGCACATGCAGATTTTACATTTCTTATTTTATTCTGCAGGAAGAAGAAGAAGAGGAGTTCACAGTAATCTATTCTTCCGTTGTCACCAAGACACCTGCCAATAAAAGAAACAATCCCACGGCTGAAAGTGATTGTTTTTACAGTGAAATAAGAATATAGAAGAATTAGCCCAGGCTAAGATAAATGCTAAGTGAAACAGTTCATGATTATAATTTCCACCTTGTCATTTAATTTGGAAACTGATTCATCAGCACGGACTTGTGTTTCATGACTTCACCCACAAGGTTCTGAAAGGAAATTCTGCATCAGTTTTTTTTTATCTCTAGACTAATAAATGAGTGCTGGCTGAATTAAAATGGTAATGGTATAATGGTAATGGTATGAAGTTTATTCATTTTAAAAAAAGTACAAAACAATTCCATAACAATATATAAAAAAGATACAAAAAAATTTAAAATGAAAGGCAGCAGAAAGAAGAAAAAATCTTATTATATCTGCCCCTTTTTTCAAACAATTATTTCAGACATATTAATTTTCAAGTAACAGAACAAAATGAATAACTTTCTAATTTTTCTAATTCTAATAAAAAACACACACTAAGCTACTTCATATATACTTTTTTAACAATCTAGATTTGATCTTTTTCTTAAATGTGCACATTGACTTGACATTTTTTACATCACTCTCTAGACCATTCCACAATCCAACTCCTTGGATTGAGGTAGACCTTCCCTTCAGACTAGTTCTGAATTTTGGTTTGACAAATATTTCTATCCCCTTAAGATTGTAACAACTTTGTCTTTTAACAAAATTTCTTTGGATATTTAATGGTAATGTGTTATTTTGAGCCCTATACATAACTGATAAAATACTATGATCTACCAAATCATGGAACTTCAATAACTTCAGTTGATGAAATAATGTGCTTGATGGGTGACTGTAATGCTTTCTGGTGATGATTCTTACAGCTCTTTTCTGTAAAATAAAAATAGGTTTTGTAAATGTTTTACACGCTTTCCCCCAAACATCAATGCAATAGATTAAATGTGGAACAATGATTGTGTTATACAACATGTACAGAGCTTTATCATTTAATAATTCCCTGACTTTGTATAGTACTGCAATAGATTTAGATATTTTTGTTCTTACAGAATTTATGTGATTTTTCCATGTGAGCTGTTCATCAATGATTACACCCAAAAATTTCATCTCATTAACTCTACAAATCTCAACACCCTCAATTTTAAATGGATCGTCAACAGTTTTCTTTTTGTTACTAAATATCATGTATTTAGTTTTATCTAAATTTAATGATAATTTATTAATTTTAAACCAAGTTTGTATTTTATCAAATTCTGTCTTCATCAGTTCCAACATCCGTTTTACATCTTTACCCAAACAAAAAAATGTGGTGTGGAATTATTAACTTAACATAATTATTAATTATTAAGATACAAAACCCCTTTCCCCCCTACCTGATTTAAAAAACAATTAAGCATTTTTAAACTTCTTGAACCAGACGTTTGACACCAAGTAAGTAACACATTTTGTGGAACCATTTCAAAGATGGCGGTGGGTTCCGAGTTTTGTTTATTTTGTATTTTCATTTTGCATGATAAAGTTTTGACTTTTCAGTTTGTAGGTGAAGCAACAGAAGATGGTCAAACACATCAAATGTGCCAGAAATGGTCCAGCGTTCTGGAAGTTGTTTTATCTTCATCCCCTGTGCATCAAGACTTCTTCATATTCTCTCTCTTTAAAAAAATAAAAATAAAAAATCAATACTACTAGTACTAAACAATAATAAATACTGTACAGTCAATAAATAATTGTTTCTTTTTTTTAGTATAAATTATAAATACATTGTTTAGACTTTAATTTGTTGCAGATTAGTGAACAATTTACTGTCATTCAAAGTTTTATTAATATTATTATTATGTTATTGATGTTTGTGCTGTTGTAACGGGTGGAAATAAATTTTCAAATGTTTAACACGAGTGTTTATCATGTACATTTAAATTTATGTTACTCCTTGTGTAATAATTATGTATACGAATTTATCCTACATGCACCATTGTATTCTACCATGTTGTTGTTTACTGTATTTATTTTGGACCATGTAAATATTATATTTCTTTTTCACTTTTTGGTACTTTATTTTGTTCCCTTATTGCATGTTTGTTTTTACCGAGTCATATCGTTTCTTCTCATCCTGAACATCTCATTGCATTGTTGACCTAGTGTAACCTGCATACGACAAATAAACATTTCTCCAAACACATTAAATTAAAAATAGGTTTAATGAAATGTTACTTATTTACACTTTGTTGCGTTGAGGATAATAATATTGTACATTATTATATATTGTAATAAATTAAATTGTTGCATTTATTTGTTAGTTCATGTTTTTTTTTTTAAATGCCATTTTATTTTCACTTATTCTCAATTTGTATTCTTCCTTTTATGATTGTCCATTGTTGTCATCACTCTTTGTTAAAATCAGGTCTCTCTTGTAAATGAGTCCTCGGGGCTCAATGGGATTAACCTGTCGAAATAAAGATTGAATGAATGAATTACTCAAAGTTTTTTTTTTTTTTTTTTTAAGTACGCATTGTGGCAATTCTAAATATGTACCAGTAGGTGGCAGTAAAGAACATTAAACTGACATTCGTTTAACGAAGAAAAGCAAAAGAAGGAAGCCTGTCATGTTGTGTACATAGTTTTTGCTTCCAGGATAATAAGATGGTTTTGTTTTAATTAGTTGTCTTTACAATTCTGTCATGCCCCCATTCATCAGTCTTGACGGTTTAGCACGACTTATGAAGCGTTTGATTTATTGATAGCAAACTTAGCGAACTAGCCTTCAGCTAACAAGCTAGCCGTGTGTTGATTAAGCTAATCGGGGGCATACGCCAAGATTTTTTATTCGGTTCACTTCAGCAGGTTCGGAAAGGCGCTGTGCTGCGGATCATTTCTCAGGTAAAGTAACAAACACGCTCGGGGATTTATCGTGAAATGTTTTTAATCACGCGGCTTAGCTGCTGCATTTAGCCTTTAGCTGTTACTGTTTAAAAAGTTAGCAGAGCAGCTAACCGGTGTATTGTTAGCCTTTTTTTTTTTTACTTAGGCTTTTTGTTTGAAGAAAAAGCAGGAGACAATTAAGTTCGGCTTACCTATTTGTCTAGTAAACTGTTAAGTTAGCATTATATCATAAAGAACCATTGTGTTTGCCTCATACTTAATTTATTTTTCCAGTAGCTACAAAAGGCTTAAAGCTAAGCTAAAATGGAGGCTCCTCCTGTCACTGTGATGCCTGTCACCGGTGGCACAATCAATATGATGGAGTATCTGTTGCAAGGTAAGATATTCGTGGATTTGTTCATATTGAAATAAATGTTTTATCACGTTATTTTCCCCACCAGAAGTTCAAATATGGACAAATAGCGTTAATAATAAATGCTTTGTGTTGTCATCATTGTATGTTCCTATACAATGGCAAAATTAGTTCTCTGCCATCACACTTGAGATACACCCAGGTGGAGCAGTGGACAGCTATGTAAGCTCAATATTTATTCAATATCAAAATATGTAAGAGCAATAATTGCTCCCTGGGTGTCTTATTAATTGCGCCGCTCAAGGTGGCTGCATGTTGGAGCAGCTCTGTTACTTTCATTCTGAGATTTTGCTTTTGGAAACATTAATTCCTCTTTTCTGGATGTAAATCACATTTTTTTGGATGATTGCTTCCTCTTGTATAAGATGCTGTGCAGCTGGAAGGATTTTTACTGAAACTTTTTTAGTTTTGGACATTTGTTATGATGCGTAACCATGGCAACAAGGCAGTTTTCTACAACCAACAACAGCCGATTAACATCTCAAAAGCTCAAATAATATCTCAACTACAGCCCCAAATCTCAAATGAGTTGAAAAGGATGTTTTGTGGACACATTCTCATCTACCTGCCAGCTGTGCTCGAGTACCTGACCACTGAGATCCTGGAACTAACAGGAAACACGGCTCATGACAGCGGAAGGACGGGATCATCTCTTGGCACCTACAGTTGGATGTCCGCAGCGATGAGGAGCTCAGCAGACTGCTGGGAGGAGTGGCCATCGCTCTGGGAGGAGTTCTGCCTGGCATTCAGACGGTCCTACAGTCCGAGGGGAACCGAGAGGCCAGCCGAGTCTGGGTGCACGGCATCTGCAGCCAGTTTCTTAGGATCCACTGTGGGATGGACCTTTACAAGAGATTCTTCCTGCCTACAGCCATCAGTGACTATAACATCTCTTAGCGAAATGAGGATAACGAGTTACAACAACAAATAATTTCCCTCTGGGATTAATAAAGTATTTTTGAATTGAATTGAATTGAATTGTATTAGGTGTTTTGCTCAGAGACACTGCAACATGTAGGAATGGCTGGGGATCAAACCTGGGGCTTTCAGGTCTCGAGTCAGCTGCCCTGCCTCTACAACATCATTTCCTATTTCACCTAAAACTCAACTAATTCTAACCAGTAGCAGTTTTTCTACCAGTCACAATGAAATGTTTCAGTAAATGCCAATATAACAAAAAAAGGTAGCGTTAAATTATATTTAAGATATGTATATAAACAATGCACTTAACAGAACTATAGTTATCTGTGGCATTTTAATACTAATTTAGTTAATAACATAGATCTTAAAGTTTATTCAAATTATTATGTTTAGACTTGATTTCAAACTTTATGTCTTTGAATAACTCTGTTCCCATGACGACATTACATTACTTGCTCAGGATGGGAGACTGCAACGAGATGAAGACTCAACACAATCTGCTGGCTACTCTACTTTAGCTAAATAATGTTAATAATTGAATTTTTATGCATATTTGTGTACGTATTTGTTCGGTGCCCTGACATAACTTCTGTTCTGACTTGACGCTATAGAAATAAACTGAACTGAATTGAATTACAACCACACAAAAATGGTTGATCAACATCTTATTGATGCCATTTAATCAATTATAAATATTGAATCTGACTGAAGGTAACATTTATAGTAAGAATGTATTGCAGCTTATCAGTATGGCACATGTTACAAATGTTTATATTTTTCCTACTCCTTTTATTAAATTCATAAATCTCAGCTGCAGGAAACGAAAACAAACACTTTATTGTGAATAATGTTAATTAATGCAGTTTTCCTGAAAAGGTTATTTAAACTATTGCCACAAATACAATATATGTGTCTTTAATTGTCTATACCTTTTTTAAACATCTTTTCTTTCTCTTTTTTTTAATTTTTATTCAGGTAGTGTGTTGGATATGGCCCTGGAAAGCTTGTTGCATCGTCTTCGTGGTTTGTGTGACAACATGGAACCTGAGACTTTCACAGACCATGAGCTTGTGTATCTTCTGAAAGGTCAGCAGGGAAGCCCTTTCATTTTGCGTGCCCGTCGCTCCCTCTCCCACCAAAACGCTCCGTGGCACCTACGCTACCTAGGTCAACCGGAAGTAGGAGACAAGAGTCGCCATGCCCTTGTACGCAACTGTGTTGACGTGTCGGCCTCTCATAGCCTTCCAGAGTTCCTCAATGAGATGGGGTTCCGCATGGACCACGAGTTTGTGACCAGTGGCCATATATTTCGCAAAGGCGCCATGAAAGTTGTGGTATGCAACGTGTCTCGTGTCCAGGTGCCAGGGAACACCGAGAGCACAGAGCGAATGTCAAATTCACATTTAGTTGAACTGAGTGTGTTGGCTCCAGCTGGTCAGGACACCGTGTCAGAGGACATGCGGAGCTTCGCTGAGCAACTCAAACCTCTGATTCACCTGGAGAAGATCGACCCGAGCAAGCAGAGACATTAAAAGTTTATTTAGTTATATTGTTTCTTCCTACAATGGACATTTTTGTTTCAAAATGATATTTTTTGTTTGTAGAAAATAAAATGCAGCTCTACTGTGATGTGAAAAGCTATACTTCTAGTAGATTTTTGTCTTGCAAGCTGAAATATGTCTCTTTAAAATACCAGCCCATGAGCTTCTGACTAAACTCATTTATGAACGTTGTCTAAGTTAAACTTATAACTTGTCTGCAGTACTCAAAAAAACATTCAATACAAAAACAACTGGACTTTATTTGTAACAGAAGATGTTTTGCTCCTCATCCGAGGAGCTTTCTCAATTCAATGAGCGAAACGTCTTCTGTTACAAATAAAGTCCAGTTGTTTTTGTATTGAACGTTTTTTGAATTCATCATGTCCTGGATGACTGAGAATCTTCACCAGCAGATTGTCTGCAGTACATATATAAAGTAAAAATATTTGGCTCCACACAAAAGTAATATATTTTCTGCAACTTTTAAGTTCACAACATCATATGTACTACTTAAGAGTGATGCTATACTAAATTAAAACCTAGCATTCTGTGAAGGAGAGCATATCGTCTGCTACTTTTATCAATTCCAGACTTCTAGATCATCATATGATTAGAAGAGACGATCTTTAGTTCAATATTAGTAAAACTGAATAATGGCCTTGTTTGTTTTGACTAATGCAGATTAGATGTAGTAATTAGCTTCTAAAGTTATTCAGTTGTGCATGTACACCTAATGATTGTTTCATAAAAGTTTCATTAAAATCTGGACAGGGGCACTGAGGTATTTTGCTAACAGGGTGGACTTCAAAAAATCTGATTGGCAAAATATAAACAAAGATCGGTGTAATCTATTGGTGCTCAGAATATGTGTTGTACATCAATCCTGGCTACTACCACATCAATTTTTAGCTCAATATCTTTAAAATTGACTGATTTATAGCCAGGTTTGTGTTTTCTAAGATCAGTTAACTGAAGTGGCCATCTTGACTGGAGTAAATCAGTAAGCACAGTGGTCTGCCTTCGTCTTTTAGCAGTAGTGGATGGATGAACATGTTTCTTTTCACCTACAACTATTTTTCAAGCTTATCAATCAGTGCCAACTCTTGTAGAAGCATCAAAATGCAAAATATTTTGTTTTGCTTCACTCAGCTCTCCGCAGTGGACATTTATTTGTTTCACCACTAGGGGTCTCTCTTTCTCTTGTTACCGTCCTGATTGGAGCACATTGAACGCTACCTCATCATCTACAGGAGCTCTGGTTGCCATGGAAATAATTAGCTGTGAGATCTGCACATCTTTTACCTCACTCTAATTAGCTTTCTCAATTGCTTAATGATACATAGACCTGTGAAAGCCTTTCTTTCCCTCAACAAAAGCATTGATTTCCACTCTCTTCCCCTCTCGTTTCTACTGTTAACCCATTAGTGCCCCTTTACAGGAGAACTTGAGCTAGAATTATTACACATGAAAGCCCTACATCTGCCTTAGGTTTTTTTTGCTGTTCGTGATGAAATTGAGAGAAAGAAAAAAAAAAAAAACGCTGTATACGAGTGTGTCAACATTATGGCCAATTGCCTGCAGAGACGGAAGTAACTAATGCACATCCTGTCAGTTATGATAATAATGTTGGCAAAAAGACATGAGTGCTTCTAATAATACCCTTGCAGGAAGATGCATTTGCTGGAGTTGAGATGTAAAGTGACCATGTGCATGTCTGAGAGGGGAGCTCGAGGGCCGATGGCTGTCTTTGCACGTTGACCTACCTGCATATCAAGGCTGATGAGGACAGGCTCGCTGAGGTGGACACTGCTTCCAAATGCATTTAGTGCACTTTGAAATACACCTTTGAATAGTACAGAAAGTATTATTGAGATATTGTTTCAAAAGACAAAATCTGATCTGAGCTCCATTCTCTTTATTCTCTCCATTCGCTTTTTCATGCAGGGTCACAGGGAGCTGGTGCCTTTTTTTTCGAGCAGTCTCTGAGCAAGAGGCAGGGTACACCCTGGACACACCATCACAGAGTCACCACTAAAAATGTGTTCTCATGCCCATCTGGTGACAATTTAGAGTTGCCGATGAACCAAATGTGCATGCTTTTGGTCTGCAAGAGGAAACCTATCCATCCATTATCTTTTACCTGCTTCTTCCTTTTTGGGTCGCAGGGGTCACTTGTGTCCATATCCAGCCATCACTTCAAGAGCCACAGAGACAAACAACCATTCACAGTCTAACCTAGGGACAATTTAGAGTTACCAATCAGCCTAACATGCATGTTTTTGATCTGTGGGAGGAAACTGGAGTACCTGGAGAAAACCCACGCACACATGGACAGAACAGGCCAATTTCACTCAGAAATATCCCTGGCTGGAATTCAATCCAGCAACCAAGAGGAAACCTATGCATGCATACTTAGAACACGCAAACCCCACACGATAAGGCCACAGCAATGGCATGGCCACGCCCCATGATCTGTGCCCAATTGCATCAAATTTAATATTTGACTACTCGTTAGACAAAGTTTTCTCTTGGTGAAAGTGGACTATCTGATAGAGACAGGTTCTTGTTCCAACAATCAGCAGCAGAGTACCGACCCTCAGGACTGAAGCATGATGTTTCAGCTCCCAGTGAATTATGCATTAAAGAGGCAGATGCCTTCTTGCCTAAGGCTTTATATGTCCAGCATGGATACACTACAGTCTGCTGGCTTTCTTCCACTTAAAGTTGTGTTTAGCACAGTGCTCTTTAGTGATGAGCTGGAGTCCCACTACACCTCCACTCCACATTGCCTGGAGAGCGCAGGCATAGCTAGGCTAATCAGCATCTTGGCATCAGGCCTACTTGGCTTTAGTGGATTTTGCCAACCATTAGCTTACACAAGTGAAGAATTGGGACTTTTCTCTGAAGACAGTTTGATGTGCTACAATGAAGAAACAAAGTAAAACCTTCAATAAAGATTAGTAAAATCTATGCAATGTTCAAGCTAATAAACTTCTCAGCAAAACATTTTAAACCCTAGATAAAAAGGGCGCTTCATTTTTCCTCTAACTAGTTGAGGCAGTCTGTGTCAAGTAAAAGTATTCTTTTAAGGGTCTCTGAGTAGGGATGGAAGTCATTACTTCTACATAGTATTCTATCCATTTCACAATGTGGTTTTAATTAAAACTCTTGGCACCCATCATCTTTATGTTTTCTGAACATAATGTTTATAGCTGCCAGTGCAGATGCCAAGATGCCACAGAAAGATGGCGTTAGCTCCAGGCAGGAAGTCCGCCTGCTTCTAATGCCACACACAACAGGGGGTGAAATCCAGCTTCACCTTATCAGTAGTTCTTGTAACGATCAAACCTGAGCCCTCTCTTTTTTGTGTGCCAAAGAGAATCCATATGCTTGTTAAATGGGAGTATGGGTGGTTTTCTGAGAGGAGGAGCTTTCCTAGACAGACACCAGTGTCCCAAGGGTGTTCTTATGGGGTTTCCGATTACCTCCTGTCCAAACCCCACAAGGCAGAATGGGACACGGAGATAATTTCTGAAGTATAATTAGCTTGTGAGGGCTGGCCTAAGTGGCGTGATTACGAAATAAGGATGGGTCATGTAGAAATGGGTGAAAAAAAAAAAATCTGCTCCCTCTCCAAATGAAATTCCAGAGTATTTTGTCAGGATGCAAGCTGACACGCGAAAAGCTCTGATGTGATCCTCTGCCTCGCTCGTGGCTCACTGAGGTGGTTGCTGCCATGCAGAACACTCTGTTCCTGTCAGACACTCAGATCTGAAGGGCAACCATGTTACCTCTGGAATGTCTGGTATGGGGACGGCGAAACAATCAGCCTAGAGGGGACGAAACACGCGTAGTTTTTAAACTCCCGCTGCCTAACCATCCCTCCTACTCTGTCTGAGTCCTCTCCGCTTCTGAGAGTTTCGTCTCCCCTGAGATTCAGTCCTGCTGTGAACCGCTGAATATGGTTGTTTGCCTTCTTCACCGTCATTTGGTTTTCTTTCACTTCCCGTGTAATCAAGGCACATTGTGCAATCTCAAGTGTCACCAAAATTATGGCTTTCATAAGTGTTACTTGAGAGGCATCTCAGGCAAAACCCCGTGTTAAAGAATGGAGCTGTAAAAAGGCTGCTCTGTATTCAGTGTCGGTTTCACTGTTATTCTTTGCACGAGAGAATAGAAATAGAATAAATAATTTCAAAGCAATCATATCCTTAATGAGCAATTTTGCTTGCAGATTTTTTTTTTTATAAACTATCAGCAAGATGGCATTTTAATTATGTGATCCCATTAGCGCTCCACAATAAGTCACCGCATGACACATTATGTGACACATCCTCCTGTGTTTTAAACCCCGCACTATTTTTTGACAAATTTCTCAACATCATTCCTGTCTGAATGCGCAGCGTGGTGGCGTTATGCAATTTTTTAAGTACAGGTTTCATTCGTGCACACTTGAAATCACAAAATGGGAGGTATTCTCCTCCAGTTGTTTTTTTTTTTTTTTTTTTTTTTGCCTCCTTGGTGCACGAGAAGTTGTTGTGTTTTTAAACAAGATGTTTTTAATTAGGCAATTTTAATGGAAACCCTTATGAGTAACCATGTTTAAAGGCATTCAACTGCCAACCTGAGATGTTGAGATTATGAGCTTAATAATTTCTAAATGATTTAAAGGTTTAACATTCCTTAAAGGAATTATCACCTGCCGTTTTTCATATCAAAGTCTTGCTAAGTTCATGTTATATAGAGAAAATGATGAATTTTTGGTCAAAAATGATAAAAAGGTTATGCTCAATCTCATATTTTTAATTGTCACGCTTAGAGTATGTGTTCTAGATAACTCTCAGCTACTACCACATCAGGTTTTAGCACAGTTTCTGTTACATTGACTGATTTTTATCTGTTTTTGTGTTGGTTAATGTCGATCAGCTGCGGCCATCACGAACTGAACTGACTCCATAATTTAATGTTGAGGTTTTCAGCTAAGATCCTGCGTGATGAGTTGCACTTGGAGTATGTGCTGTGGTAGACGACTAGCTACAGCCACAACAAATTTGAGGTCATTATCTATAGAATTGACTGAATTATAGACATTTAAGTTACATTTAAGTGCCAGTTGGTGGCCATCTTGAATTTCGTTGACACCGAAATTGCTTCAGTTGTTCACTTGCTGCAATTTTCAATAAATTTTGTCCAGTGATTTAAGATGGCACAGTTGGTACAGCCTCCGCCTCTCAGCAAGAAGGTTGCTGGATCGAATCCTGACCTTTCTGAGTGGAGTTTGCATGTCTCTCCGTATACCGGTTTTCTCCATAGACCAAAAACATGCATGTTAGGCTAACTGGTATAGCTAAATTGTCCCTTGGTGAGATTGTCTCGTTTGTCTCGTTTGTCTCTACGTTGCCAGAGTCTTAACTGGAGTTAATGGGAGAGATCACATCTCTCCAGTTTTAGCTTCTCTCCATTGGCTCCCTATCAAGTCCAGAACTGAATTAAAAATCTTACTTCTAACCTACAAAGCCCTCAACAACCTAGGTCCATCTTATATTTGAAATCTTATTGTTCCATATTTTCCTAACAGAGCACTTCGCTCTCAGACTGCAGGCTTACTCGCAGTTCCTAACGTTTCCAAAAGCAGAATGGGAGGAGGATCTTTCTCCTCTCTTGTGGAACCAACTTCCAGTTTTTGCCCGAGGCTGACACATTGTCCAGTTTTAAGACTGGGCTGAAGACTTTCCTTTGTGATAAATCCTATAGTTAGGGTTGGCTTGTTATGCTGCTATAGGCTTAGACTACTAGAGGACAAACTGACCTCATTTCTTAAATGAATTGTTAAAATTTAATAGTTTTCATTTGATACTATTTCTATCTTAACATGTGATTCTTGACCTGCCATTGTGTATCTATTCCTCCTTCCTGTTCTTCTCAAACCCAGCTGGTCGAAGCAGATGACCGCTTGTCCTGAGCCTGGTTCTGCTAGAGGTATTTTCCTTTCCACTGTCGCCTTCATGCTTGCTCAAGATGTGATGGAGTTAAACTCAAAGCAGTCTGCTCCTCTGATAAAGTCTTTAATTACTATTTTTACATATGGATGTATCTGTTCAGTGCCCTGAGATGACTTCTGTTGTGACTTGGCGCTGTATAAATAAATTGAATTGAATTGATATCCTGATGCATGCTCATTAATCCAGGTAGAAAAATCAAATTTTGGTTCATCAATCGAATTGAATTTATGTGGCTCTTGGATGGACTTTCGACCTGTGTCTCCCACCTCTTGCACAGTGACTGATATGGGCACCAGTGACCACCGTGACCCAAAAAAGAGAAGAAGGGGGTAAAGATAATGGCTAGATGGATGGATTTATGAGACACTTTGGTAACACACGTACACACACACACACACAGAGACACACATAACTGTCCATTTTAGTATTTTGGCAGCAGGTGACAAAAAAAGGAGTTTGAGGCTAAGTTTCTGACAGTGTGCCCACTCAGCTGTCAGATTATAGAAGAAAGTGGCTGGTGCCACTTTTCTGGTCTTAGAGGAGCAGCAGACACGTGGATCTGACCTGGGGTCAGAGGTCACAGTGGGACCAATGTAATTTGAGCTCATATAACTATATTTCTCCTGCTGGAGACAGATTTTCCTCTTTTCCCCATTATGACCTCCGGAAAGCCCCACACCTCCCAGATTAAAAATCTAGGGTTACCTAATCTCTCTTAATCTGGACTAAATCGATCTAATCGGTAGAGAAAATTACACCCAGTGAGGTGAGCTGTAATGCCCCGCAAATATTAAAGCTGCGGAGGTGAAACCGCAACGTCTCCCTGGAGGACATTGTGGACGTCGCATGCGGTGTTCAGGACAATCTGTCAGGCGCGTGACAAAAAGCCCGAGACGGGGTTGAGCAGGAGGAATCCTGCTTGCGCGTTTCATGACGTCTGGTTTGGCGCACGTGACGTCCCCCTAAAAGATCATTAATGTTAAAAAATATATATATAAAGAAATCTTATCTGGAGATGGTGGAAACGATAGAGAGGGAGTGTGTGTGTATGTGTGTGCGTGGCTGTAATCATGTCGGGAGAGTATTGATTCCGCGCGCGCACTCCAATTGGCAGCCGCTCCTACTACACAGCGCGCCGGCGCGTCATCCTCGGCTCACATCGACGGAGCGAGTTGTAAGCAAATGAGAACATGTGTGGCATCTGAGAGAGTGAGGGGGGGACAAGGCACGAGGAGGTGTGAGAAATTTTGATCTTCCTGACAACTGGATTTGATTGCCGGGCTTTTCTTTCTTTTTCTTTTTTAATTTTTTTTTTTCTTTTTGTTGGGCTTATATTTACATCTATATATTTTCCCAGGCAGGGACCATGATCGATTCGTCACATGCGCGCGCCTCTTCATTCTAATTGCAGACAGTTGGGTGCTGTTCAGGCTGAATGGACTTGAATGTGTCGCTGCCAGCATAATCCGTGCAGACTAGAAGATTTAATAATTCACGGTAATCACGCGTTATCGCCTCACTGGATGCTCTCTACTCAGCTCTGGTGATTTTTTTTTTATTTCTTTATTATTATTATTATTATTATTCTGGAGGATTTATCGACGGCTGCCTCGCTCCTTATCTCAAATATCATCTGTTGCTGCAACTCGGATTGAAAAGCTCCCCCCCTCTCTCTGACACACCACCTCCACGACTGATTTAGAGATTTAGTCCATATGGATTGTTGAATAAGAAGCTTTTTTTTTTTTTTTTTCAACCATCTCTCAATCCACTCCGGGGAAAATGGACAAAAAATTGTTGCTACTTTTATTACTTCTCTTGTCTCTGCACGTGTGATTCTGCTTTCATTCATTATGATACTCCTCTGCTGAATTGGCTCCATTGATTCTGACTGAGCTTGTAAAAGGCACGTTACAAGGCGAATTCCAGCGCGAGGTGATTCTGAGGACAGCTTTTGCCCCCCCCATCCTTTCATTTGAATTTATATTTTAATAAGACTGAAAGAATCAGCTGCAGGATAAATGTTGATGATGGAGGACGACGAACTGGACGCTCATCAGGTTGATTCGGATTTCGAGCCGCAGAGCCGGCCTCGCTCGTGCACCTGGCCGCTGCCTTGCCCGGAGGATTTCCACGAGGTGAGCGGGGGTCTTCAGCTGGCCAGCATCAAGGTGGAACCGGAGGACGTGCCGGCGTGCAGAGCCGGACTCGTGGGCGGAACGCCGGCGGAGCTGAAGCACCCAGCCGGCGCCCTGGCACCCACGGGCGCGACGCACCCATCGTGCTTGGCCGGCGCGGCGCTCGATGTGACCGGCTCCCTGCGCAAAGCCAAGTCCTCGCGGCGGAACGCGTGGGGGAACCAGTCCTACGCGGATCTCATTACCCGAGCCATCGAGAGCACCCCGGAAAAGAGGCTCACCTTGTCACAGATTTACGACTGGATGGTCCGCTACGTGCCCTATTTCAAGGATAAGGGCGACAGTAACAGCTCAGCTGGCTGGAAGGTAAGCATCCCATACAGGAGCCAGCGTGGCGGGGTTTGACGTGTTAATCAGTGATAATAGCCTATTGATTATTATTCCCTAAGCCATTATTATTCTCTCACCCCTCGTGCGTTACACATGTTAGCGTGGGATTCCGTGTCAGTTACGCATGAATGGTGCCATGCCTTATCTTGTCTTAGCTCATTACTGCCGTCTGTCATTCTAATACATCACTGATGGCACAATGTAATGGACTGGAGTGGAGCAGACCCATCAGGTTGGAATAGTGCTCAAAATCCCTGCATCCTCTGGATCACAGCTGATTTAGTTCCACATATGTGGATAAGTAGAGGCCACTGTGTCTTTTTTTTTTAATGCAACAAATCATCTCATGGCTTTAAAGCACATGTGTGAATCAACAAAGTGTGACACTTGTGGGGAGGGAGAGCACGGGTCAGCTGGCCACATTGTAAATATTCACATCTGACCGCAGTCCACTACCGCTGCCTGGCTGAGAGCCTCCTGGACATCTGCCCAGGTTATCAGCCTTTTCCCTACCAACCTCATCTTGTTTCTATTCATTATAGCCATCTGAGGACAGCAAGGGGGGGGGGGGGGGGGGGGGAGGGGGAGGGGGTAGTGAGAGCAACAGGGCAACAGTGTTTGTCCTGTTGAACTGAGCTTTGAGAACATGGCAATATTTCCAGGTTTAATAAAGACCAGGAGAATCCAATATAATTTCTTATTGGCCAGCTGTTCCTTTCTTGCAGAACTTTTATTTTTCTAGCCAGATCTTTAATGCTAAGTCTATCTTTGTGGGATATTTAGTTGGATAACAATCAGACATTCGGCATCCTTTCATAATTAATTCCCTTTAAAGGGTTTAGGTCCTGTCAAAACTTGCTGTGATGTTGCGTAACACAAACTCTGCCACCAGCTGCAGTCGGAGTCTCCTCAATTATAATCACACAGCACCTGAATGACACTTTAAATCTGTCCCGTTAAGCTCCACTGCCAAGGTGTGTCCTCAGGTTTCATTAGCTCGCATTCACTCCCAACGATCTTCAATCACGGGGCCTCTTTACTTAGAGTGCCAAAGTCCCAGCGTACTATTTATGAAACTGCAAATTATGGGGCCGTGACAGTGTTAGTCTGAGGTTCTTGGCTATTTCTGTCCACTGGCGAGACATTGGCCATACCAGGTAATAAAAGGGGATTAGCCAAGTCATTTAAAGCAGGCGTACTTTGTGTCAGTAACAGGTTGGACCATAGGTTTGGTCAGAGACAGTGATGTATTCATATACTGTGCCTTTCTATTGTCACTATAGCCAAAATAATATAATATTTCTGATTTATCCAGCTACATTTTGATTGTTTACTGTAAGCTTTGCCTTTTCAATAAGAATCATCATGTTTTAGTTGACAGAACTTAGTGTGCAAATAAAATCTTATATTAAAATATGCATGCGACAGACAGTAAATGATAAAAACGCCTCTGAGGATCTGTTGTTGCGTATGGGAACTAATTAGAATGAACTTTTACAAAGTTAATGAAAAGTTATGGCGATTTGTGCATTCAGGACCCCAAGTTCCTCACCTCTACACAAAACAGGCCCCGCATCACTCGTTTCATTTACCACTTGTTTCAGGCAATTATTTCTGACAGCAACATTTGTAGTGTGGGAAATATTTCTGTCGTCTATACAGCATTTGACTCTTTATCATGCTTGAACAAAACATTTTGATGTAAAACTTTGCCTTTTTTCTGTCAAGACAGGGAAAAAAAACTTGTGTGGGAGGGTTGAGAATGGAAGGTAAAACGCTGATGAAACCAAATGAAATTAAGAAGTGTATCCTTGTAATTTCACTGCAAGTCTTGAAGGTGATGGTTGGTCTGAGGATGATGGATCAAAGGCAAAGACGTCTCTAAGGTATTTAATTAAGTTCTGCAAAGTCCAACAGAGGAGGTTCTAGAAAGATCTTGAGAAACATTTTGTGCTGCTCCGTGTGGTAGAAAGGAAGTGATGTTGGCTCAATGATAGGTGGTGAGCCAGGGTAGCCAGGACATCTAGGCAGAACTGTTACCTATAAATACCCTGAGGGTTCCTGACTTCTAGGAAGGCTGCAGTATTCTGAGGTCATTGTTTTCTAATCAGCCTCTTACTGGAGGGAGGATACATAGAACTGTGTTCTTATGTATCGTGCCAGGCTTTCCACTAAAGATTTTAGTCATTCTGCACAAGTTGTATCTTCTCTAACACAAATTTCCCAGTGGCTAAACTGAGCAAAGCCAAGATAACGTGCACATTTTAATTTGAAATGACCAAACAACACTGAATTATTCTTGTATTTACTGCTGAATTTCGTCTGTGACCATCCACGCATACATTTTGATGCATTCTGCATTCATAGGGAGAAGCACATGTCAGTTGCAACAAAGCGTCAGGGTTGGTTCTGCCCTGTGCATCATTCTGGGGGCTTCTGCGAGGGGGAGGGGCTGTCTGCTTCTATAGGCGTCTGTGTTTTAGCCTGCTGATTGGTCTGACAGCATGTCACAGCAGTGAATGGTATATGTAGTCTCCCTATTGACTTCATAATGCCTCTAATGATGGAGTAGTAGCTACTTGGCGTTGGGATTGCTCTGTAGGCGCCCAGAAGTTCATTAACTTGAAGGGGGTTAGATGAGGCCATTGTTATGCTGAAGGGGTAGCTTTAATGTATATGGCAGCATGGGTGGCTATGGAAAATAAAAATCCATAATTCATGAGTGTTTTTTGTGTATTAGGCATATTAGAATAAAACTGTATAGTAAATTCAGCACATTAAATCATCCTTTTGGGCAATTGCAGCTATTGAGTAAGTGTATAGAGTATATCTTTGTCTGCCTTCTTTATACAAAAAGTTTTCCTTTCCGAGTTGTTATTGTGCCTGACTTTTATGCCAGTCAGATCCCAGTGGATTGTGCAGCAGGTCATCAAGAATGCCAGGCAGTCACTCAGACGCTTTAATCCAAAGCAACCAGACTGTTATTTATAAATCGACTTTAGGTAGAGGTTTGCGCAAGGTTAGGAGGGCAAAAGGTCATCGGGGCTTCCTTTATTGACACAAGTCAGCCAAGACAGAAAAGGCTTCAAAGAAAAAAACAAACAAAAAAAACCCCTAAAGTAACGTGACAGTGACTGTGCTGGAGTTAGAAGGAAAGCCAAGCTGCCTTTGGGGAAAGTTCAAGGAGAGCTATAAATCTGTCGTCTGGCATATATTTTGTCTGATCATCCGTAACAACACATAGCCCCATATCTGAACATGTAGCAGTATTTACAGATGACTTTGTCTGATTGAGTCATGGGTAAAAAAAACAACTTAATCCTTGAGCTCGGGCAGTTTCAGTACAAACACTTGGTAAAGAATGAGAAAAACGAGTGTTAAACAAATGACAGAAGAGCAAGTTTGACCAAGGCTTATCACGCTGAGAAACTTGAAGCATTCGGTTTACAGAGTTAGATGCTTGATCTGTTCAATGTGCACGCACATATGTAAGCCTGTGTCACTTGATGGTGGTGGAGAAGCCTGGGCAGACGGAAAACTATCCAAGGCTTCTGCTGATTCATAGTTTATTCTGTCTTGGCTCATGGGAGCAGAGTAATTCGAATGTGAGACAGAAACACTCACATGCTATACTGACTCTGAATGAGAGCAGATGATGCATGCTGGACAGATTTATGGTGCAGGATTATGAACACTTTCTTTACCTGGAGCCAGTTTGGGTTCGAGTAGTATATTTAGCTTCAGCCGTGTACCTGATGCCGAAAAGCCCATTCTCTTTGCCTTTCCCCCCAGCAGCCTTCAGGCAGCCGTGACAGCTTATTTCTCACTGAAATGATTAATGTACATGCAAATTACCAAAGCATGGGCACGCATTCAAATATGGGAGACGGCAATCAGGAGACAGTAATAAGAAAAACAATAATTTTTTGCCTTTGATATTATTTTGGCAACTTTTATCACGTTATCTCCCAGACACCCTTTTTATCTCCCACTTTTATCTCCCGGTTCTCCTCTTATGAGGTCCTTCTAGCCATTAGACATTCTATACATTCTTTCTGTCTTAGTGGTTTTAGGTACAAGGGCCCATTGAGGTGAGGAGTCTTTCCCAAGAGCTCCGTGGCGTCAGAGTTTTGGGCTTTAGCCATGATCCAGACTGCCTCAAGCAACGTGCTCGCACTTAGCTGAGAAAAATCTTATACCTCACATTATCTTAGAGATAATAAGATAATGCTGGATTTTTTCTCACTTCAGCTTTGCTCAATTTGTAAGAATGAGATTGTCAAGTTTCCAATTGGACATAGTTGATCTAATTTGCTTCTGGAACTTAAATCTATTTTAGGATTTTTTTTACTAAGCCCCATCACTGTATGTTCTTACTGTTTGGGGACAGTTCAGTGCTTGTTTGTCAAATTTCTTAAGCACCGTGAAGCAACGAGAAGCCTTTTTTTAACTGAGCTCTCTGTTTATGGTGACGATTTCCGGCATTCCTGCTGGCTAAAATGCACACATTTGCAAAAAAACACACGACGACACCCATCGTGCATCCTCCTCAAACCACCCATTGAGGAACACATTGTTCTTGGGTGGGGTTAAAGGAAGGGGCTGACCAAGTTGGGAGTTTTTTTTTGTTTTTTTTTAGTGATGTTGCTCTACCGTCCTATTTGTTTCGAAATCTGTCTGACTTTTGTTGATTGGTTCATATGGAAGGCGTGGCTCGGTTTAGTAAGCTCCTGTGGATTTTGAGCGAAACCTGTTACAGATGCAGAGACAAAATGTGGCGTGTGTTGCTTTGTTGAGGTTGTGTTCAACTTTATGCCATGAAGATTTAATTGGGCTGGGGAAGCCTTGAGTGTTGCGCCACTGCTGCATGGTTAAAGCAAAAATTCTTTTACTTCTATATAGTTAGCCATGAAACTGGAAGAGAACAGACAATTTATAGACACAGTTCTGGACTTGCACTTTTGGTAAAATGGGAG